CTGCAACAAGCGCGTGTCGGTCGACCACGTCCGTCATTTGGTCCGTTGGCGCAGATGGTCGATCAACGCACCGACGGTCGTCAAGGAAACGGATTAACGAGCGAGGCCGAGAACGAGAACCGCCGAACAGAATCCAGCTCGTCCAAACAAACGGACCGACCGACCGTTCGGTCGTTCTTTCACTCAACCAGATGCATCTCCACAACACGCAGGCCGGTGCGAGGCAAACAAACGCCGGCCAAGCGAAGCGCTAGAATGGTCGTTGTCGACCAGTTCGCGTCGCACCCTCATAAATCATTCTCTGACAGCCGTATAACCTTCGGAATTAGCGACAGGCCAGAGAGCAGCAGGCGCCTTCGCATTTCTGGATCATCTCTATTTGTCGACCGACGACTAATATACAGCCGAAGCAAGCGGCGGCAGTCAAGCACACAGGCGTTATTCGTTTTGGCAAACATGAGAATAACCGGTCGCACCTGATTCAATCCAATCCAAAATGTTGGTGGAGTGATACAGCGTTAAAAATTAAGGATGATGGCCTCAGTCTTGCTGAAAAACCTGTGCTTAACGATTAGGATCTGTGCCTTTAGATCATGTTTAAAGGAATAAACAGACTTCCCAACTTAAGAAATGCAACAATGCCAAGAAGAACAGCTTATCTCCCTCAATACTTCTTTAGCATTCTTTTCATGCTGCTAAATCAAAAACGAGGCTGACTGTCATATAAACATATCCCCTAATCGAATTAACGCGAGGTCACTCGTCAGTCCATTTGTTGCCCTTTCAGCTCTGACGTAATATTGCCGTCATGTTGGAGGTCCTTCCTGCAGCCGCCTGCAGAGACTTTTCGTTCAGTATTCACTTCGCAAGACGGCTATCGCCTATTAGCAGACAATGATTCTACCATTTTAAGCACCTTGCTTGCAGCCAATCGGCAAATCACTTTGGTTGAGTGCTCCGTTTTCCATGACTACAGGATCTGACTCCAGATCGTGCCACATTACTTCTAATATACACATTAAAATCTTTATTTCTGACGCTCGGCTTTGCTGTTGTCAGCTTCGTTAAATGTTGAGGCTTCCAGATCATAGAGCGTATCTTCTGAATATCGTTCCAGCCTTTGTGCCATGGCCGACATCGCTGTCGTTAGAAGTTGCTCAACTTTTCGCTAGTTAATAATACAAACGCACAGCACTTCTTTACGTCGCTTATCTTTCGCATGTTTGCAGCCAAGGTGTTTCCGATGAATCTATATTCCGGTAACTGTTTCCAAACATCACTGATATCTAGATTAGTTGGTATGGTTTTAACCTATACCCGTCATTTGCCTGCTTCATAAAACGGAAATATTCTGACCAAAACATATCCGCTTCAGAACTTCAGAAACAACGCCAAGGCTTCAAAGCTGCCCGCTAGCAGTAAGCAAATGAGCTTCCATATCCTTACAACAGTGTGAAGTGCCTTGTAGTTGGTTTTGTCTTTAACGGGAAGTTAACATTAATTAATCATTTTCTTTGCGTGATTAGCAGTTAGGAAAGCTAAGTTAAATTCGTCGATCATGCTTCCTGGGAGCCACTTTTGATCTGTGCTGGCGATATCCAAGAGGCTGTATAATACCAATTTTTAC